AAAAATTATTTCAACTTCTTTTTGCAATCTTCCATTACTGTTTCTTTCTGCAATGTTTCATTTAACCTCCATCCGAAAGAACTGGTTTTCCTTTTAAATGCTAAAGTCACTGGGTTGTGATCTAAAAAGGTCTTTGGCAGTATCTCTACTTTGTGAACACTAGTAGCCAAATTCTTAGATATCCAAAACATGTTGCTTCTTGAGAAAGATCTGTGTCTTTCAGAAAAATAAATGTATTCTTTTGCATCACCATTTTTGTGTCTCCGTGCATCTACAAGCTGTAGATTGTCTACCATGTCAAAAAATCTTTTGGTAATTTATGTTGTGTTATTTTAATATCTTTTTCAGAGGTTCTGTCCTTTTGTGGACAAATTACTCCATTCCAATCTCCCATTAAACACCAATTTTCATATGGTAAGTCCATTCGTTTGTCCATCAGTCCTTTGTAAAAATTTACTTTATTATCATTTGGAGCATAAATTCCCATTATCAAAGTCTTGGCCCCATGCAGAATAGCTTCTACCCCCATATATCTGCCATAATCATCAGTCAATATCAGTGTAGATTGTAATTGGGGTTTATATACAAAACAACTCCATTTCTCTTTTTGACTGCTGCTGAAATAAATTCTTCAGCCAAATTTTTGCAGATCAAACATTTTGTATCCTTTTTTCTAATATGCGTTTCTTGTAAACAAACTACATCTCATTTCAATTTTTTAAAATAGTGAAATAATTTTCTTCTTTTTTGAGGAGCATTTGCTCCATTTATATTCCACATTAGGCATTTAAAATCCATATTTATGCCAAACACTTAGAAAAGTCAGTATCTGTAGCACTAGCGTGGTGGTCTCCTCAGTTTTTTGTTGTGTCCGTTGCTTAGGGCCCTTTGTCACTTCCATTTGCATTTCTTCCAATTCCCCTTTAAACTTTTCTCAAAATTCTCTTGCTTTTTGGACTGAATTCAGTCTGAACCTCTGTTGTTTAAAAGAGAAGATCCCTCCTTCCAATTTATCCCATTGAAATGGTCTCTCTTTCTGTTTGAGCTTGTCAGTCAAAAATTGACAAGCTCTGTTCATTTCCGCAGTATTCTAATTGGGATTTCTTTAAGTACAATCACACCTGCATTATTAATCTTTGCTTTGGTAGTAAAATGCTGCTGCAAAACTGGTCTTTTTTCTGACAAAGTACACAAGAATATCCTTTCGTATGTTTCTTAATTTTGCAAATTGTATATTGATTCTTTGCATATTGCATATTGATTGACTTTGCAATTTCTACCTCCCTTTCCAAAAAGTTCGTTAAAGATTGTACAACTTTGTCTCTAGTGTCTTCTCCAGGATCCTCTGGAACTGCTCTGAGTGTCAAGCAGAATTGTTTTTCATTAATTTGTTTAACTTTTCCCATAAGTGGTCTTCAATTTTTTTGTAACTTCTTCTTTCATCTCCTCTTTCATCTTTACAGACCTTTCTTCCGTTCTCACTTCAAAAGCAACCAATTCACTTTTAACAGAATTGACAGGTTCAGATACCTGCTTTTCCATCTCTTCAAATATTTTTTGTAATATTTCTGGAATAATTCCCTTTTCTGCCAGTTGTTCTAATGGCCCTCTCCTTCCCTCACCACACTTTGCAGCTTTTCTGGTGACTGCCATTCTTTTATTTATAATCCAGAAATAAAAGGTAAGTCAATTAAAATACACAGATCCCTGGTATCATATGCAATTTGGTTCTCAGCACTATGCATCAACGAAGATGATTCCTTATTGAAAGGTAATAAGCCATTATTTATAACCATTGATTACAATGTGGTACAAAATGTTCTGGTGCTGTTTTAATTTCAAACAAATAAGACACGAATAGAAAAGATAACTGGGTTTCAAGTTTATAATAATAAAAAAAATGAAATACTGCATGTTTATCTGAGCCAGAACATCCAAGGTATAATACCTTGCCATCTGCCTCTCTAAAATAAGATTGATGAAGGCAAATCCCAGAATCATGAAACAAACTGCACTAATATTCGTGTTTGTGATGGGGGGTGGTGAGGTGACACAAAGTAAGCAAAGCCAAATCATTCTCATGGTTGAAACTGGAATATTCCTGTTCCTGGGTTTTCAAGGAAGTGGGCTTTTCTTTTCTTTTTTCTCTAAGTCCAATTCACAGAATCATTTCAAACTGTTGGGATCCAGGACCATCAATTTTCTGATAATCATGCCGGCAAATTCAGTGCCGCAGTCCCAGGAAGCCCTGCGAGCTACAAAAGAGAGAATTGGGAGTGTCCCAAGTTGCCCACCTATTTTAGCATGACATGTGAATGCAGTCAGTTGCTTCTTCCCCTGTGCAGGTTAGAATTAACCCCCCCAAACCAAGGGTGAAAAGCCAATTACTGCTATCAAGAATACGAGCTCTCCTATATGACATAGCCTACATATTTTGCATTTTTAGGTAATAAAACTTTACTGTCTACAACGGTCCCTCCTCTGCACTGGCTGCCACCCTCCAAAATATTCCTCTGTTTTAGTCTTGCTGCAACAAGCTCATGCAGCTTTCCTTTGGGAAAAACTCTTCCTGTCTTGAGGGTCTGCCTGCAGAGACAGCAAGGAAGGTGACCTTGATGCAGATATGCAGGTGCTGTTGCCTAGGCAAAAGAGGCTGAAATGTTTTTAAGTCCAGAAGAGCCAGGAAACATTTGGAAGAGGCTCAGCCAGCCACCTTCCTAATTCACTGAACTACAAGAAAGAGGAGGAGGTACAACACAATCAGACTTGCAAGATTCTGTTTTTATAGCTTATCTCAATAAAAGGAGTTTTAGCCTTCTTGTGGAGTTGATTTCACGGTCTGGTTTACCTCGTGGGATTGACCCGGTTGAAACACAAGTATAGAACTGAGTACATCTAGTGCCAAGGTTTGGAAAGAGCACTTCTTCCAGCAAATCGTCATCTGTTCCAATTTCTGCCTGGTCTTACAAATTCTAGAACATCATTTCTTAAGCCTAACCCTGACTTTTCCCAACTCACACTCAAAGGCCAACCAATGCATAAATAATGTCAGCTGCTGTGTGAATAAGGATTGAAAGACTAGTTGAAGTTAGCCGGATCATAGAGTGATTAAAATTCATTAACTTCTTCAATAATGGAATTGCCAGTGCTTTGGTAAACAGACAAGAATGTTATCTGCTCTTCACAGCCCCTGTAAATAGCCTTCTTTTTTTCTATTGAATGGCTACAGATTTTGTCTTTCATTGCCATGTTTCATTCAGCTTCTTTAAAATTGTTAATTGAAATTTAATTAAACTGGAAATGAAATCAAACCAAATGTGGCTTTTGCCTTGCCTACTTGTTTGTCTTTGTACAACCTCCTTTTCTGGGTACGGCCCTGGCGTGTCACTCAAAAGCCAACTGCAGCCTTCAGTGTGAAAGAAGCTCCCATCTCTGCAAGGTTTCCTAACTTATACTCTTAGCATTCCAGCTAAATTGTTGGATAAAGACAATGCTAGAATTAATTTTATGATTGGCAGTGACTGGCAGCTAGAGTTGGAGGGGTACTCACATTTTCGGTCCATCAATTCTTTCATAATTTAATACTTTTGCATCAAAGCTTGCACAGCTACTAAAATATTTATTCATTTAATCAATTTGTATGGCCACCCAATTCACCCCAGCAACTCTGAGTGGCTACCAGTACATAAACATTAAAAAATAAATATAAGCAACGATATGTACTTATCTTTCCTCTCTAAATATTATTTGCTCAGCCGCTCAATCACTTGTCTGTTAGAATCGACTTATCAAAATACAGCATGTAGTTTCTATGCCTCTATGGAACCACGTGAACCCTTCTTTACAACCGTGTATTGTTGCTTCCTTAGTATATATTTCACCAAAACTCGTGTAATTTATATGTGGCAATTTGATTATAGTTCACTGAATGGAAGTGATATCCATTTTTCACTCTACATATTCCTCAAACACTCTCTAACTTTCACTACTTTTCATCTGACTAAACTGCAAAATTCCTTTCAGCCTTTGGGGGAGGTAATTAAATCTGTCAGGGAATCATTTATTCGTCTTAGAAGATACGATGCCAGTTCTTCCTCTCATTTATTAAAATCATTCCTATCTTTTATGTATGAAAATAATATTTTACCACCACCACCACCCCTGAACTGTTGGCAACAGACATCAACACTGTAAACTACTTTACTGGCAACTAAGTTATGCCATTATTCTGCTTTCCACAGATAAATTCTCAAACTTTGTGACAAAAGGTTTTGAGTGACCTCCTTCCAAATGAAATGAATGGATTTGGCATGAGATAATATACCACTTGGTTTTAAAAATTAAATTTTAATATATCTATCAAGGAATTCTCACAATTGCCTGCAGCTGGCTTGCACAGCAAAGGGGAGGACAAGTGAGTTTTGAAAGTGCTCTCATTTTACCTGTGCAAGCCTGATTAGGTTTTTCCTTTTTTCTTTTTTTTTTTAATGCCCTTAGCTGCTCACACACCCATGGGACTGTGACCTGCAGTCTGAGAGCCTCTGGCTTAAATGAGAACCATAAAAGTAGTGGGTCACTGAGGGACATAGGATCACTCTGCATTGCAGAGAACACTATAGAATAATGAAAGATATAAATCTCTCCTTGGGTATAAGGCAGAGTAACAATGTCATCACAACAGCAAGAAGATTCAAAAATAATCTTCCTACAGAGGCGTCCCACACATACTTTTTGCTGGCAGATCTTACCTGTCATTAAAGATTTGTGAGGCTGTGACAAGCCAGGATTATCACACTGCTGATAACACTTGGCAGAGGGTAATTTTGATAACTACGGCTTTATTATCAATCTGTAATGTTATATTCATAGTTACTGAGGAAAAACATGCAATATATGCAATAAATAAGTGTTTAAAATGAAGAAGTCCTAACATTTGGAAGAGGAATAGCCACAACACCGACTCTTCCTTTGTATTGTTAATTTCAGAGATGCACACCTACCTCTCAGCTGGCTAAAAGTGACGATGAATTTGCTGGTAACAGACTTCAGCTCATTATTGGCCAGTGTGATGAAATGCATGCCTTCAGCCACATGCCTCATGACTTTATAAAGGGCGATGGGGAATGTCATCAATTTGCAATCTGCCAAATCTAAAGAAAAACATCAAAGGAAGAAAGGAAGGGTGAGAGAAGAAGTGTTGAGTTTTCCAGAACAAAATGAGCTAGGTTCTGATGCATCATAATTTTATTCGCGGTCCATAAGGATTAGATGCTTGTACTAGAATAATAAAAAACAGACCCACGGTAGTAACTTTTAAATTAAGTCTACATTGATAGGGGTAGGATGGAATGTTGCAACAGACTGGAATATCAAATAGTGCTGCCAGGAACTTATAATGCCTGGAACACCCTTCTATTTTCCTCCCACTTAATTATGGACACTAATCACTGACAAACACAGCATGCAGGTAAGAAATGAAAAATGAGTTCTCTGGAAGATAAATGCACATAGCTGGTTTCTCCAGTTCAGTTCAGAAGACAGTAAATAGTCCATCCTGTCTCTGCTCTGGATTCTTCTATCTAATAACCTCTCTCTGAAGGACAATCTGCCCTTCAAAATTCTTAAAATTCAGTAAATGTAGGAATATATTCCTGCAGCAGAGGAATATAATGAGCACACTTTCTTCCTCCTCCTAGCAAAAGTGGTTTGCACTCTTTTTAGTGAGGTGGCAGAGGACTTGCTCTCATCTGATTCTATAATTCCAGTCAATTAATTGCAACATTATACCTGAGAAGAACACTCAAATAACTCCTCCATATTCTACATTAATCTAGCCAGCACGTCTTCCTGGAAATAGAAGAAACATTGGGAAAAAAGCTGTTCTCTCCACTTATCATCTGTTCTTTGTAAACTCTACTTTTAAGCAAATCTGTTTGCTCCAGACTGTTAACTTTCAAAGAAGATTGCAGCCTTATTTTAAGCTACAGGTTGAAATTGCTTATAAGTTTTATGAGAAAGGTATATTTCTTTACAGTAACCGTGTAGAATCAGCAATAAGAGCACAGAGGTGTAATGAAGCACTGGAAGGCAGCTGTTGTCCTGTTTCTCCAGTACTCAGTACAGTAATATTTCCCCCCCAAGAAGTAGGATTCTTTTTAGAGCCATCTTAAAAAAAGAGAGGAACTGGCTATACTGTATATTCTTAACAGAAAATAGTAGAAGCATAGAAAAATCAACTCAAAGCCAAATTGTTCATGTGCAAGGGAGGGAGAAGAGAAGAGAAGAGAAGAGAAGAGAAGAGAAGAGAAGAGAAGAGAAGAGAAGAGAAAAAAAGAAAAAAGAAAAAAGAAAAAAGAAAAAAGAAAAAAAAAGAAAAACAGTTATTCCATTAAAAGTGAATTAGGTGAGTTTAAACAGACTACTGGAGTACCCTTTGTTTTATAAGTTGTGAGAATAATCATTTAAGGATGGCAACAAATTGGGCAGTATGGAAAGCAGGAAATTTGGAGTCTCAAAACTGGCTTCTCTATCTAACAACAGTTTGCCCTTCAGAAAAGCCGCATTCACCAAAATATAAGATCACAGGTTGGGATGGGATAAACACATGACTTTATAAATGTGAATGTTATTAATAGAACATACATGGTACTAAAATGAAGAAAAACTTACTTGTACAAAATATAAAACATTAAAAAAAACCCCACAAAATATGAGTCAGTTTTCAGGCCTCATCATGGGCAGAAGCTGCATGGGTTGCTCTGATGAATGACCCTCACTGGGACTTAGACGGGGGCACGTGCCCTTTTTGGACCTACAGACCTCTCAGCAGCTTTTGATGCCATCAACTATGGTGCTCTTCTGGGCCACCTACAAGAATTAGAAGTGGGGGTCCTATTCTATGGTCATTGCACTGCTACTTAGCAGGTAGTCCCAGTTGGTTATCACGAAGGGGAAGCACTTGAGTCCATGGTAACTCCAGTACAGAATCACTAGCTCAGTGCCTTCCCCTCTCTCATGTTATCCAACACCTCTATGAACCTGAAAAAATGAAAAATGTGTACTTTTTGTTTATTAAAACATATTTGACTTATTTTCAAGCAACGAATATTTTGCTTTAGCGCTAAATGTAGTCATAACAGCCCCCTGCCCCTGTAAACATCTGTTTGATGTCCCTTTTCATACATATGGTGCTTGTAAGATTCGCTGCATTCGGCGCTGAACAGAAATCTCGTGAGGCACAGGCTGGGACAAAAGCTAGTTTACTCAGGCATAATGTGTAGCGGTTACAGACAAAGCCAGGATTGGCTTGGTGTGGTTTCTTATAGCAATTTTATAGGGTTCCTCCTTGACCCCTCGGTTCCGCCCCTCGCCCTTGCCCTGGGCTGCCCATTGGTTCGTGGTGATCTTCCTTCCCCCACCTTGATGACAGATTCAGCCGGTTTCTATTGTGTTATAATCTTCTTCCTTTGTCTGTCTTGCCCTTGCATTCCTGGAGCTTTTCTCATGTTGAGTTGGAGTGGCTGTTTCAATCCGGTTTTGAATTAACCGCTGATTGCCTCTGCATTGCTGCACTCCCAGTGTATTGTAAGCCGGAGTTGCCCGGGGCGCCTGGGGAGCCGGCTGCGCTACAGTGTTGCCATTTCTAATTACAGTGGTACCTCGGGATACGAACGCCTCTACTAACGAACATTTCGGGTTACGACCAGCTTCGGCAGGAAAATTTTAACTC